ATCATCTATTTTCTGTAACATCTGGCCAAATCCTGACCTTTTGCCTGCCTCAGTGGCTCAACCAGTATAATTATACTCCTGCTGTGAAACATACTTAAAAGTTGATTTGCAAAACTTTTTCTGTTTCCAGAAAAAAGAAAATGCACCAAATAGAATGAATTTAATTTAGGTATCAATGATTTCAACAATTGAAGAAATGTACTGTCACATATTAAGATAATTCTAACAATGCTTTGTTGTCATTGATAAAGAGATGCCTCATTTTGCCAAAGAAATCTTTATAAACTTGGGTATAAATTCAATTTTAAAATTCAACTTGATTAGGAGACATCATTTTTAAGAGATTCATTCAGCAAATATGTTTACAAATTAATTCTGCTTAATAACCTAGATTTTTCTATATACATTTATTTACAATGAGGTAATTTTCTGTGACAATTAGTTTATATACCTTAAGAACATATACTATTTGAGTATTTGTGAAAGAAACTTTGCAAGTTTTCTGAAAATATAGATAACATTACTTTGTAATTAAAAAATAAAAAACATAATGTTGCTATAATCTGCACATATAATTGAGACATTATATGCTATTTCCTAGCACCTGTTAAGTTAGAAAGCTACAACACATAAACAGGGAAATTTGTCTCTCATAGAAAACTGCACTTTTAAAATGCCAAAATGCAAGATCAACGACTTTAACTCAACCTTTAATGTGCCGTCATGCAACTTCACTACAGCACATTTGGGCAAGATCTTTAAATTGTTTTGTTTTGCTATGTTTTTAACCAGGCTAATAGTTTTATATGTCCTATAAGAAATAGGCCTTATAAAAAATATAACATTATTAATAAACTAGAGGCCCGGTGCACAGATTCGTGCACTGGTGGGGTCCCTCAGCCTGGCCTGAGCCCTCTTGCTATCTGGGACCCCTTGGGGGATGTTGGACTTCCAGTTTCAGCCTGATCCCCACAGACCAGGGACCAGGCTGAAACTGACAGTCCGACATTCCCTGAAGGATGTAGCAGTACGTGATGTGGCAGGTGGCCGGGGAGGAGCCTGAGCCCCAGCCAGCCCCGCGCTACTTCCACTCATTCCGGCCCTGCTGTGCCTGCAGCCGCAGCTCGGTAGCACACTGCTGCGGAGGCGGGAGGCTCGCGCCGCCACCACAGCTGTGCTTGTCAGCCGAGAGCCTGGTGTCTGGCGCCTATCAGTCAGCTGAGCAGTGCTCCCTGGTGGTCAGTGCACGTCATAGCGACTGGTCAAATGGTCGTTTAGTCATTTGTTCATTCGGTCACTTAGGCTTTTATATATATATAGACTAGAGGCCCGATGCATGAAATTTGTGCAAGAATAGACCTTCCTTCCCCCAGCTGCCAGCACCGGCTTCCCTCTGGCACCCAGGACCCAGGCTTCCCTCGAAGCCCTGGCTTCATCCGGAAGGTCGTCTGGAAGGACGTCTGGTCTAATCAGCATATTACACTTTTATTATTATAGATACCTTTACACTAGCTTAATACAAATCAATAAGGATAAAAACACATATACTAAGAATGCATGCAACATCTGAACTGAATGAAAATAACGTGATTGTGGACCATTTATGAACCAGTCTGATCCCATCACAATGCCTTAAATGTCTTTGGGCATTTTTCCCAATCCAAGTTTCTCTTCTTTGAAGTTATCATTGGTACAAGGTGTGATGACTTTCAGGCATCAATTAATATAAATTGGCAGCAGGCATAGTATTAATTAAACATGACACTCTGATTATTTAAACCTCCTATTAAAGTTGATTATTTAGAGCATGTTGATAGCCTGCTCTTCAAAAATGACTGATGATATCAGGCTTTACTGACTTCCTCCAAGTCTACTATTTCCAACTCCTCAGAACAGAAGGAATAAATGAAGTGAGAAGAACACTGAAACAAGGCTAATAGGCAAACCGACTAATCTCAGACTCCCAAGGTCAAAGTAAAGCAATTCATTTCTTGCCTTTCATCAACACAAGACATGATTTATCAATCTGAGAGCAGGATTACAAACATTATACATCTCAATGATATGTTCTTTGCACTGTGTAACTTTTTGAACAATGATAGATTGCAGTCACCACAAAAGTAATATCATAGGGAAAACCTATTAGATTTGCAAATAAAAACATTTTGATTTTTAAAAGCAAAGGTACTCATTAGCAATCACTACTACTATACACTTCATTGGGGGGAGGGGCAATATTATTTTAAAATTCAGATATTCGTTGGGTTTCTATCACTTATGTGATCTAAACTTTGGACTTTTATGCTCTTCAAAATATTATTCTTACTTTAATATATTCATTTGTGGAGCCAGTCACCATGCTATAGATAATTATTAAATGCAATGTTTTTATATTATTGCAACATGTCAAAGATATTATTGCATTTTCACATAAAAATGGTAAATGTCTTTTAAGGATTGCTACTTCTATAGTCCAAAGCTGCTTTTAGAGAAGAAAACATTATAAGAAATATCATTGGAACATTTTTTAACATTACAAATGTAATCATATAGCAGGAATTTTGCCTCAAATTTTAGGATTAGTGTCTTATAAGCTATTAAGCATGGGTGAGATAATAAGAAAGAAGTCACAAACTAATTATTTTGATGATATTAATCTCCCAGCTTATCTCTCATTTGCTATAACACTTACAGAACTGTTCCATAAGTCATGCTCCTATTAGAAGTTAAGAAATTATTCTGTAGAGTAATGTTAGGTAATTTGAAAGATTTCCACTGATATCAAATTATATATAAAAGATTGTCAATAGTGATCACGAAACCATATTCTCCGTTCTATATATTTTAAATCACATTTTCGCTGATCGAAATTAATGACCACTTTTTCTATTCCATCACAATTTAAGGTGAAATTTATTGCCTCGGTGGAGGAGGATACTACAAGATGTTGTACCTGCAGCTGATGATTCATTTCACCAGCTGCCAGAGAGCTGCACGTTGCCGCACACCTGGACACACGCACTGCGACTGTTTGGGAAACACATTTATCTTGGCACGTCACAAAGGAGATGAAATTATAATTATTCTCCCTTGTAACGAAAGGTATTTTGGAGCTGTGTCGACCTACAAAATAATACAAATTACACATCTGGAATAGGTCCACATAATTTTACCATCTGTTCTCTATATTCAACCATGAATATGTCCCAAAGCATTCTTTGTGTTTAAAAAAATAAGATTTATTTTTTAAATGCTTGGACTGGTTGTCAACATTGCAGGGAAATGTTATTTTTTAATTTAATACACTGAATAAATTGCTCAAAACCCTGAATTTCTTTGGTTGATAAATAATGCATAGTACAAATTTAATCAGTAGTTTTCATTAAGGGGATTTTGTGGCTATCTCGGATTCTGATTTTGAGAAAATAAATGTGTTGGCTAAGTCTTATGCAAAATCTTCCATGCAAAAACTAAATATCTGAGTATCTAGTATGAAAAAAAAAATGATATCAGACAGGTCTTTCTTCAACTGAAGTTTCAATAGTTACTCATTATCTTGACCTAAAAATCCAGAGATTCTTACTTAATTTCTCCTGAGAAGTTCCTTAGTTTAACACATTAAAATATCATATCAAAATAAAAGTATTCTAGGAATATTTAATACAGTTTTCAGAATCATGAGTTCCAGAAAATGAAAATATTTTATCCAAGGTAACCAGTGATAATAATCTTAGTCTACATCAGATTTGATAGTAACTTTAATTTATTATAAAACTCTTATAGCTGATGTTTCTCTTTTAAAATGCAAGTTTATTTTCTCTAAATATAAAGATTCAATGAATCTGTACACAAGAATAGGAGAGATCATAAAATGCACATTCAACTTTAGTACTGAAAGTTTAGAGAACAAGCTTCACTATGGTGTGAAATAATTTTTCATATTTCTACCAAAAACACTGAAGAAAGAGAATAGCTTAGGATATTGAAATATAGAAAACACTCTTACCTGGGTAATATTTACCTTGCTCCTAAAATAAGGATATAATAATAGTAACAACAACCAAACAATTATCTATAATAATAAAAGCATAATATGCTAATTAGACCGGACATCCAAACAACCTTCCAAACATCATTCCAGATGTCCTTCTGGATGAAGCCACAGCAGCAGGGGCCGAGGCAGAGGTGGGTAGGGGCAATCAGGCAGGCAGGCGAGTGGTTAGGGTTGATCAGGCAGGCAGGCGAGTGGTTAGGGGTGATCAAGCAGGCAGACAGAGTGGTTAGGGGTGATCAGGCAGGCAGGCAGGTGTGCAGTTAGGAGCCAGTGGTCCCGGATTGTGAGAAGGATGTCCAACTGCTGGTTTAGCGGGATCAGGCCTAAACTGGCAGTCGGACATCCCCCGAGGGGTCCCGGATTGTGAGAGGGTGCAGGCCAGGCTGAGGGACACCCCACCCCTTGTGCACTAATTTCATGCACCAGGCCTCTAGTGTAGAGAATAAAAACCAATAGTCACTAATCTAAGTACTTTATATACATTAACTCATTTCCACAACCCAATGAGGCAGATGCTATTAGTATTTTCATTTTTTTTGAGATGAACTTTCTTTGCAATAAAAAAACACTGAATTAATACATCATTGTCCTTCAGTATTTGTATATATATGGAAACATTGATATTATCAATGTGCGAAGTTAAGGCCCTGTTAAATCCATGTTAAGTGTATGTATAGATGTATAAAATAGGTTACCAAAAATATAACTTTATTATTTTATGCTTTCAGGTTCTATAATTTAATGCTAAATGTAGAAGATACAATAAAGTTATTGGCATCTAATTTATGATAAAATAAAATAAATTTTATCTGCCTAAGAGAATGATGATTATGATAAGTATAAAGTTGATTAGCCCACACTAAATTTCTTCTTTAGGTCTACTTTTCAACTATATAGCCTTACATTTATTCCTCATAAGTATTTCAGAGTAAATATGGCTACTTACCTTTCAGGATTTTCTACTTCTTCAGTTACAAAGTTGAGATAAAACCTAAAAAGATATAAATAAATTATAAGCAATTAATATATTTTATGATCATAATTCAAAGTTTCAAAATTTATTCATTTATTTATTGAATTTATTGGGATGACATTGGTTAATAAGATCATATAAGTTTCAGGTATACAATTCTATGACATGCCACCTGTATATCGTATAACTGTTTAAAATCAACCTGAGAATTATGAAAACTTTATAAGCAAACACTCACAGTAAGATGAAAACGTTCCACAATCAAAAGCTCCTGCAAATCAGTTCCCTATTAAACTGCATTGATGGAGTTCTTTTTTATTTAACATTTTTATAGAGGTATAACATACTAACAGTCAAGTGCACACATCTTAATGTGTAATGATGAATTTTTACACACCTGTGTAACCAACAACAAGATCAAGAGATAAAACATGTCTGGCCTCCCAGAAGGTTTCCTCATAGCCCTTTCCAGTAATACCATCTCCTCCACTCTCCTGCAAAGGCAACCACTGTTCTGACTTTTACCACCATAGATTAGATTTGCTTATTTCATCACAACAGACTGATATTTGCTTGTATAACAATTTTACAATATTTATTCTTTTGTGTCTGGCTTTTTTTGCTGGCCTTTGTGTTTGTGAGTCTCATCCATATTGTGTGTAGCAGTGATTCAGTATTTTCCATTGTTGCTATTCATGGAATGAATGTAGCACTATACAGTCTATTGTTGATGCACATTTGGATTACTTCTAATTCATAGCTATTTTGAATATAGACACCATTGATACGCTTGTACATGTCTATGCATTCATTTCACTTGGTTATATGCTCAGAATAAGATCGCTGGATCATAGGGTAGATATATGTTTACTGCCAACTATTTTCTACCATTTCTAAAATCTGCTCCAGTAACAGATGAGATTACCATGTGTTAGTCACTGGGGACATGAAAGTGGAAAATACTTAGTCTCTGTCCTCAAGGAGCTCATGGTTTATAGAATGGTCCATAAAATAGTGTGATACAGCATAGGAGGCAATGCTGGGGGCACACACAGGGCACCATGGGAGCCGGGGCATGTCTAACCCAGATGGGCAGGTCAGGGAAGATATTTTTAGAAGAGGCATCAGCTCAGTTGAGTCCTCAAAACTGTTTAAGAGTTACCCTGGTGAAGTGGTGTAAGGACATCCCAGACTGAGTAGAGCACATGAGCACAGGGCATGAGTAATGTATGATTGAGTATTCTACAGCACTGATTGTGGCACGGGAGTGAGAACAGAATTTAAGTACACCTAGCCTTTGGCTTCTGAGAATCCAGACTTTAGTAGTGGTGTCAAGTCTATCAAAACTAGTAGGGCAATAGAAGTATGACAAGAGCATTGCTCAGTTTTAGGGAACCGGCTTTCTAGATATAAACAGAGGATAAGTAGGAACTGAAATGGGATAAAAGATAATAAATTCTCAATTCACACTTCTCCCTTTCAAGTCACTCTTTTCCAGTATGCACCCCACCAAATAACCTCAAGTCACTAGGTGCTGAAGTTGCTATTTTTTTTTGTATATTTAGGACGTTAAGTTTAAGCACATTGTTAGGCATTATACAAAGTTGATAACTAAAGAGCAGAACTTGTTTTTGAAATCCTCACCCAAGGACATGCTTAGAGAGAGGAAGGGAGAAAGAGAGAAATTGATTGGCTGCTTCTGTACATGCCCCAATCAGAGGTCAAACCCACAACCTGGTTATATGCCCTGACTGGGAATTGAACCTACAACCTTTAGGTGCATAGAACAACACTCAATGAACTGAACCACACTGGCCAGGCAAGAGCAGAACTTTTAGAATATTTCTCAAGGCCTGAACACTTTTCTGGGTCTATTACATGACAGGAAGCATTCTGGGCAAACATATTACATTTTCAAGTTCTATAGAATTGCAAATATTGTCCTAAAATTATGGCCCAAAAGAATTTAGGGGTTCCTTTTCTTTACTTTGTGACCCTACTTGTCCCATTCAGGAATGTCCACCACCTTGCACACATGACTTCTTTTTCCAACCAAAAGGACTGCTGGAGACCCTTTAAAGCCCTGTACTTCCCTCTCAGGGTTCCAAAATATAAGATTGAGGCAGACTCCATCCTCAAATACACATACCTAGATAACTGGACCATGAAGATGGGAAAACTAAGGGTTCATAATGGGGAAAGCTGAACATATAAAGAAAAAGACCTGTCTACCTCTTCATTTCATAGGTTAGGAAATTTCCACAAAATAATTAAGTGATATTTTCAATGTACCCTTCTGTTCTCTTAGTATTCGTTAGGAGGTAAAATATCAGTTATTTAGGTGCACAAAAGCCTGGGTCCACAGGTACAAATTTTTCATAACCTAAAACCAAATGGCTGGCATATTAGCCCATCAGCCTTGAATATACTTAAACTTTCTCGTGACTTACAACAAAGATGAGAAAGCCTATCACATTCCATCTTTATAAAACACTTATCTAAATTAATAAGTAGGCAGTTAATGCTCATGGTTGTTCAAAACAAGACAACAGGCCCCCAATGGAGTCACTTATGCTAAGCCACATGTCACCAAACGGAGACTTAATTGCAGTTCCAGCTCTCCCAGAAATGGACTCTGAAACCAGTCAATCAGGAATCATCTGACCAGAACTAGTTAGGCCATCTGCCTATAGACAGGTCAGTAACCTTGCAGTAACCAACCTGCTTTTTTGTGTAGTGTAGTCTAACTTTCTTGTTCCCACTTCCTTCTGCCTATAAAAGTTTTCCATTTTGTACAGCTCTTTGGAGCTCCTTTCTATCGGCTAGATGGGAAGCTGCCCAGTTGGAATCAATTTTTGCTCAAATAAACTCTTGGAATTATTAATTTTATAAATTTATCTTTCAACAAGGTTAAGGTATCTAATATTTTAAAGATATGTTTTAAGTGGAAATAGCTGAGAAAACGGTAGTGATAATGTTGATCTAAAAAGTTAGCAGCCTACCTGGCTGGCATAGCTCAGTGGTCAAACTATGAACCAGGAGGTCACAGGTTCAATTCCCAGTCAGGGCACATGCCTGGGTTGTGGCTGGATCCCCAGTAGGGGGCGTGCAGGAGGCAGCCAATCAATGATTCTCTTTCATCATTGATGTTTCTCTCTCCCCCTCTCTGAAATCAATAAAAATATATTAAAAAATAATAAAAATACATACATAAATAAAAAGTTAGCAGCCAGCCAGGCCAGTGTGTCTCAGTGGTTGAGAGCCGACCAATGAACCAAGAAGTCCCCAGTTTGATTCCTGGTCAGGGCACATGCATGGGTTGCAGGTTCGAAACCCATTAGGGGTCATGCAGGAGACAGCTGATGTATGTTTCTCTCTCATCAAAGTTTCCATCTCTCTATCCCTCTCCCTTCCTCTCTCTCTAAAAAATCAATAAAAACATTTTTTTAAGTTAGCAGCCAAAGATATCTTTTAATGACTAAAGTGTACATTCTAAAAATAGAGGTTGTAGTTATACCAGGAAGGCAAGCAGCAATCAATACTTACATCTGGAATATGCACTCTTAGGGATTTGATGTGTTTGTTAAAAGCCCGAGGCAATGGGAAGTACAGGAAGAAAATGTAAATAAAACAAAACAAAACAAAAAGCACACAAATGAAGAAATATTTCCAAGGTTCTCATATCAAAAATAACCAGTTCCATCTTTATATTTGTTTTAGAAATGTCTTTTTCCAACAATGTTAAAGCAAGAAAGGAAATATTTATGAAAAAGAACACAATTTCAAATATTTGTCACAGCTCGGGAGAATAGAGACAAGGAAAGGGCTTGGGGCAGGGTAGGGGTGGGGAGAAGAAAGCTTCTTATTTTGGTCCAAACATTCCCATCCTGGGGGAAATACACCTTTATGTTCTCCTGGCCTCTAGCAATGAGTCCAAGAGCATCCTCCTTGCCTTACACCTCCTCAAGGCCTCCAGAGAATGTTCACAAGATCTATTGTCTCAGCTTTTCCACGATTGTGTATAAAAGGCACCGCAATGCTGACAATGCATTCCAGTACCCAACCATGTGAATTCTTTTAAAAAGAAGCTTATTCTTTAGATGGGATTTGACACAATGGTACAAAATAATCCCCACAGGTGCTTTAGAAAGACCAAATCCACTGAGGATAGGATTTAAAAGGAAGAAAAAAAGACACCGAAAACCCATTTTCTATCATGCAGTTTAAAAAAAAAAAAAATCCCACCAACCAATATTTAGCTTTGGATCAGGTATGAGGCTGAAATTGGTTGAACTCCCCTGGGCCATAAGGGAAACAGGCAGGCATATTTCTCTGAATACAGACATTGGCAAGAATATTAAAGTTGTTCTGACCCAACTCTGTGACCTGGCTGGGTTAATGATTTCTTTCCCCCTAATCATGTTTCTGTGAAGGAGTTTTTATCATTCCAAAAAGGTTCTGCACTCCTCACAGCCAACGTCCTCCGGCATCCCAGCCAAGGCCTGGCAGTGTCTTTTTCCTATTCAACACGCGGGAGGTGAACTGCGCACGGACCCGGACCTCCAGGACAACCAGCTCCTGCTGCTTTCACTTACACCCCAGGTGGGTAAGTTCTGATGACAATTGCAGCTTCTGTCTTACTTCTGTGCAATGTCCCCCATACTTTTTATTTTTTTCCATCCAACATTGTCACAGCAGTAGAGGGAGTGGAGGCTCATTTAGGGCCCCATTTATAATTCCACAACCCGGTCTTGTAAATATCTCATGCAAGTCAGAGAGAGGTCAGAGAGAAAGGATCACATCTGAAAAATTAATAAACACCCCTCTCCCTGGGAACTCTTTTAGTCTCCCTCTTGTTCCATTTATATCCAGATATTAACTTTTCTGCGGGAACTTCAAGCCAACAGACTATTTCTTCTAAACACAGCTTCATTTTTTTCCCTAAGGCTGATGGCCATAGATTACAACCAGACTGTTTTTGCCTATCCACAAAGCAGCTTTCAGGTAGCATAACCACCTGTGATCGAAATATAGTTGCTTATCTGTCCCCTACCTAAGCCACTTGTATCAGATGACATTTCATTTAAAATCCTGGCCTTAATTTCCAGGACGATGATTGAATCCTCAAGAATATAAGAAAAGCAACAGTTTCCTATTCTTTAAAACAGGGAGTAGACATGAGGATTATATGGGTAAAAGGATAAAGGTTCATGTAAACCCCATTTACCCTATAAACAGTATTGAGATAAATGTTTAGGCCCAACATGGAGCTGCTGGATCCCCCAAAACCAAGCCAACTCTGGGCTCTATACTTATTTCCTTGCTCTTTATTCATTTTCTGTTTTTCTCTTCTTTGTTCCTTATTCTTTACCCAATAAAAGCTTCCCGTCTGCCACTCCACTGTGCAGTTCTGTGGACCCTTGAGAGTGGAGACTGCCCACTTTATGAAGTACTAAATCACGGTTGTTTGTATCACCTACATTGTCTTTTTAAATCATTTTAACAAGAGTAACATTTTGGGTTCAATGTCAATAAAATTAAATAGAGCCTGGCCGGCGTAGTTCAGTGGTTGAGCGTCGACCTATGAATCAGAAGGTCACGGTTCAATTCCAGGTCAGGACACATGTAAGGGTTGTGGGCTCGATCCCAGTGTGGGACATACAGGAGGCAACCAATCAATGATTCTCTCTCATCATTAATGTTTCTATTGTTCCCTCCCTCTCCCTTCCTCTCTGAAATCAATAAAAATATTTTTTAAAAAAATAAAAAAATTAAAGTAACAAGATAATTCAACATGAAAAGAGTCTTTATTCATAAAGAAATCTACCAGCCCTCAAAAGCCTACAGAAGTAGAGATTTGCTCCAGATAAAGAAGGTGACCTGAATATTCAGTGCTGTTAGCAGGGGGAGAGAGCTAGGTAGAAGAATATTTTAATATTCCGTGGGAACAGATGCATCGTACTCACAAGTAAAGAAACTTCATTCAATAGAATTAATCAAATCTCCCTTGTGACTATCTCCACATTCCACATTCTTGATTGAATACTCCCAGGCTCCAGGCACTTGGCTCTAGCTGAAAGCTTTTGCCACCGCCCCACTTCACGCTGGTGTCTCCTAGTGACCTTCCCAGTAGCTTGGCTGATGCCCCAGGGCTCCAGAGCTCTGATCCAGGCTGAATAGCCACCGAATAGTTGATTCCAATGCTAACCCTGTGATCACAACTCCATTCTTTTCTCTGCCCAGCACCACATTGTGCTTTAGACAAAAATTAAAAAGACTTCAAAATACTGAGGGATTCAAGACTAACGCTCACACACAATGGATATAAAATATTCCAGTAATATACAAATGTTATGCTAGATTCCTTAGAGCTACAATCTTTTAACAACCTTCAAACATATTTTGCTGCAAAAGCCATGTTAAAATTTTAAGTTCCCGTTCTCTCCTAATTCTCCTCTACTGCTATATTTTCATAACTCAATGAGATTAACAGGGTAAACACTCCATTTACTTTGAAATATATTTTTATATGCCATGCATTAGCTGGAAGGTAAGATGTTAAAAACTAAAGAAACAAAAGAAAATTGTATTTGTGTTTGAAATGTATTTACATAATTTTTGAACTAGTGTAGTTTCCTGATATTATTTTTAGACTCAGAACATTCTCACAGCTAAACCTGTACAACTATTAGCTCTATAAATGATAAAAAAATATATTGCTACTAATCACCCCAAAACAGTGAAATTTAATTTGACTACAACAATTTTGATATTTAAATAATATATTTCTACCTACTGGGCTTTCTAGCTAAAGTCGCTTCAATTAAATCTTACTAGGTCAGCAATTTTTAACTGGTGTGCCACAAAAATTTGTTAAACATGCAATATCTGACTATTTTGTCAGGGGCACTGACCTCTTTTCCCTTCCAGTGGTTCTCAACCTGTGGGTCGCGACCCCTTTGGCAGTCGAATGACCCTTTCACAGGGATTGCCTAAGACCATCCTGCATATCAGATATTTACATTACGATTCATAACAGTAGCAACATTACAATTATGAAGTAGCAACGAAAATAATTTTATGGTTGGGTCACAACATGAGGGACTGTATTTAAAGGGCCAGAAGGTAGAGAACCACTGCCTTAGACTGTCAAATTAAAAAAAAAAAAATTGACAACAGCCAACACAACAAAAGCTATCTGGTGTGAATGAATCAAAATTATAACTATTTATTGTCAGATCAGCAAAAAATATATTTCTCGGTGTGCCACAAAATTTAGTTTATGTGTGCCATGAGATGAAAAAGGTTGGAAATCACTGTACTAGATCAATAAAATTAAATTAGGAAAAATCCCACTCTTATCCACAGTTATTGTTATTCAAATTCCCGAACAAAACAAGGCACAAACACAAAGTTCCAATGCTTCCCTGGGAAGGTACCACAGTTGGACGTGCCTCAAAGATGCACCTCCATAGTCTGGTGATTTTCATGAACTTGGCTGCATATTTTCTTTTCAAATGTTGAGAACATTTTAAGGAATTTGTAAGGTCCCTTAAAATGTAACAGATTATCTAGCACAGCGGTTCTCAACCTGTGTGTCGCTACCCCTTTGGGGGGTCAAACGACCCTTTCACAGGGGTCGCCTAAGACCATCGGAAAACACATATATAATTACATATTGTTTTTGTGATTAATCACTATGCTTTAATTATGTTCAATTTGTAACAATGAAATTGGGGGTCACCACAACATGAGGAACTGTATTAAAGGGTCGCGGCATTAGGAAGGTTGAGAACCACTTATCTAGCACAACTGATTTCATTATTGGAGTGTTAAAATTAAACACTCCAATTTAATTAAAGTGTTAAAATTAACACTTCCATGCCTTTTACCTCCTGGGAGCATCTTACTTATTTCTACATCTGTATTATTTCTTTCTCAGGGGAAGGTGGAGAAAAATCAGTCGCTATTTGCAAACACCCTTGAAGCTTTAGCTGAAAGGTCTTTTGACAAGCAAAGTAGTCATCGTTAGTATCTCCTGGCACTATTATGTCCTTCCTGATCCACACTTACAAGTGATTTGCACTGGTTCTTAAGACCCAGCATTGGCTTGTTTTATGACATTAGGCTCAATCTAGCGGCCACCTCGACTGGGAACCTCAGTTATGTTTGCATTAAGTTACATGCTCAGGAATGGGCCTGGTGGAGCCATGCCATCTTCTTCACGTCAAGTAAAGTAAATTGCACTGGATTGTCACATTTGCCTAGCACTTTGCTTGACAATAAATTGAAGTACTCGAAGGAGCTAATGAACTAGACCAGTGATGGCGAACCTATGACACGCGTGTCAGAGGTGACACGCGAACTCATTTTTTCTGGTTGATTTTTCTTTGTTAAATGGCATTTAAATATATAAAATAAATGTCAAAAATATAAATCTTTGTTTTACTATGGTTTCAAAGATCAAAAAATTTCTATATGTGGCATGGCACCAGAGTTAAGTTAGGGTTTTTCAAAATGCTGACACGCCGAGCTCAAAAGGTTCGCCATCACTGCCCTAGATTAACTACCATCTACAGTTATCCACTTACCAGCCAGCATATGCATACATTCCATAATAGAAAGCCAGTGGCAAGCCCATGATACTGGCGTCGCTTCCTGAAAAGGCATCTTTAAAGTGTTGCGTTTGCCCTGCAATGAGAAGAAAAAGATTTGAAGACTTTTCAAAGAATTGGTTATTATTCATAAACTTGGGGAGGGGGGAGGGGAGGATTGGATAAAAACTATACTGTTTGGGGTCTAGGTTTCTTACCATCTGCCCATTGCCAATGTTATCTATTAATACTGTATTCATTCCAGAGATGGAGTCCCCAAAGTATATTGATCACCACTAACACTACTTTACACTTCTTTTAATAAAATTATAGCAAAGAGGAAAATGATATTTTTTTAAAAAATCCCTTATTTGAGTGTGCCTCTACTCTTGACAGAGTTTGACCATGAGTGAAGATTAAAGGATCTTTGCTAACCTACAGTTTATAGGAGTATGATAGAATTCTTTAAGATGAAGATAATAGAATGCTTGGGAAGAAATATCCATGATTTATTCTCAAGGAGGAGGTGGCAAGAAAGCCCTGAAGCACATTCTTACGTTATTTAACTTCCTGCTTTTCCCCAGTAGTTCATGAGACACCAACAGGAATTGGAAAACCTTGCAACTAAATTTGCTCCACCACCCCCCCGCCCCCTCCGCAGCTTCTTTGGTAAATAAAGTTTTATTGGAGTGCAGCCAGGCCCACTAGTGTTATGGTTGACACTGCCAGTCTATGGTTGATGTCACCCTAAAACAGCAGGGTAGGGTTGTTGTGACAGAGCCCATATGGCACACAAAATTAAAAAGATTTAGTATCGGCCCTGTGCAGAAAGTCCACTGATGTTCTAGAGAATGGCATCGGTTCCTTCTAGAAACAATGAAATTATACCGAACTTTAAAATAGATACATTTTAACAAATTTTGCATCAACATGTGGATTGAACACTTTTATTGATCACATTTTTCTCTACTTTGTGAATCATAATGGGCCCTTTTCTTGTATGTCTTTTGGATAGTAACCAAAAAACAAGAATTCAGATTTAGTCAGCCAATATCTGAAGTGAAGCATAAAAAAAGTCTCTGTCCCAAAGCAAATAGCAAATGAGATTATCCTAATAGGAAGTGTGACACTGTTTCAAAATTGGTCTTCACGTAAGTAAATTAAAGGAGGTGGCTGATACATGAGACCCTCTCTCTTCAGTCCTATCTCAGTTGCTGCCTGGATTGCCCAGCAACAACAGATATATCAACATCATATGTGTGAGTTTTGAGACCAACAGTGGAGAATGTTGAATTATACACTAAATGATTTTTCTCTCTAAGCATCCAATTCCCGAATGCAGCTCATTTTTTAAAATGATACAGTGAATTCAGAAATGCCTATTTTACTAAAACATCTCTTCCGCATAAGTGGGGACTATAAATGCTGGAACTCTGATAAAAACATCTGTTGTATCTTTTTTTTTTTTTTAATCATGATCTGTGGTCTCCTTGGATTCCTAACAGCACTGAATAATCAGTAGGAGAAACCAAATCCTGAAAAATGCCTTCTTAGAGTATTACAGAAGAGAGGCCTTGCTGAACTCCAGGGATATTGCGACTGCATCACAGAGGGAGAGGGAAGTCATGATCTTCAGAGGAAAGCTTAACACATCCTCATAAGTAAATAGAGACCATAGAACTATTTTCAGGATCTGATTAGAGTAGACATAAATGCACAATATATATTAGTAAAACAAAACAACAAACACCCTTTTTCCTCTCTGGAGTTTCAAATCCATGTGGAAAATATATGATTTAGTTAGAGAAAAAGAAACTCACCATTTCATAGTCCTGGAGTAAATATACCTGCTAAGAATGCTCTCCAAAATGTTAAAATTTACTTTGAACGTGGTAATACTCTTGAGGCATTTCTCAGATTAGATATATGAGGAAGCCAGGTCACACTAAACACGGATATCCTAAGATTTTATCCTAAGGATCGTTCTAGTGTAAAGTGCTGAGAAAGATCCCAAAGGTATCTCATGACTTCTCCTCTCAAGGAATCTACAACACAGTAGTATTTGGGCAACCTCCTCTCACCTCACACACACATTTAAATAAGTGGTAAAAACTGACTACAGTCATACATTACACCAAAAAGGATAAAGGGCGGGGGGGGGGGGGGATGGCGATTTTGGTTTTCAAGGATGATATGTCACCTTTTGGAACGTAAGCTAGAACCAAAGTAGGGCCAATGATCCAGAGTTTCCACATTTTCCAAAATGGAAGAAGTGCCTTACAGAAGACTAAGGAGTTAGCCCAGAAAAGGAAAGCACTAACAAAACATCATTTTCCCTACAGTTCTCACGGATTGATAAAACCTGAGCAGGCTAGCTCTGTGGAGACCAACGTGAATAAGGAGAGCCAGCTCCTGTCTTCTCTTTACTGTGTTTATTCTGAGTAGACCAAGGTTGCTGGATTGGATGAAACATTTAGCCAGGAGGACTCTAAGAATTCCCACTGGGCTCATTAACTGGACAACAGCAAATCCCTTTCCCCGACCTTTTGCCGTTTGTTATTGTTTAATGCAGCGGTTCTCAACCTTTTGGTCACGACCCCTTTGGGGGTCGAACAACCCTTTCACAGGGGTCGCCTAAGACCATCGGAAAACATATATATAATTATATATTGCTTTTGTGATTAATCACTATGCTTTATGTTCAATTTGTAACAAAATACATCCTGCATATCAGATATTTACATTATGATTCATAACAGTAGCAAAATTACAGTTATGAAGTAGCAACAAAAATAATTTTATGGCTGGGCGTCACCACAACATGAGGAACTGTATTAAACGGCCGAGGCATTAGGAAGGTTGAGAACCACTGTTTTAATGCCTCTACCATTTTGCTGAATTTTGGCATATCCTTTGCCTTGTGTAATTCTTCTGCAACTTCATTAAACTTCCCAATAAATTCCTTGGAACTGACAATGTCCATGTAAACATTAAATACTTTACATGCTCAAGTTATAGGTCACTCCCATACAATTCCACCTCACTTTCCTATTTACTTCCTACTATCATGCCCATTGCTAATTAAAGAACTTACCTGGGCCCGCTTCTTTTCCAACAACTTCCGCTGAACCCAAGCTATAGCATGTGCCTCCTTCCCTAAAACAACTGAAACTCAAAATGACATCACCCCATCAACCACCTCAGGTTTCTTACTAAACAGTCAACTCTGTAAGGCAAGTATTCCCAGAAAATGGTGTTACATTTCTGTTGAAATGCAGTTTACATTAAAAATAATGTAACTGATAATTGAGTATTCACCACTATTTTTGTCAGATATTTGGATTTTAGGAATGCTACTCCCTTATCTGTCTCCCTGCCAAAATTCCATTCTTAAGGTAAAGGGAATAGTAACCATAAAGGAAAAGAATTATTGATCATCTTTTATTATGTTCCAGATATCTTTAATCTTCATTACCGTCCCTGAACTAGTTTAAAGTGTAACCGCAGATTTTTTTTTCTACTTTGAGTTTTCACTTCAAACAGTTTACACCGAGAGAGAATTCACTGATGCCTTATTTTGTTGCTTGGCCCAGTCTTAATGCTCTTGTTGCCATTTAGCTCTAAATACCAACTCATCCTCAGGGTAGCAGGCTTTCATATCAATTAGATGACAGTATAGATTCCAAGATCCACAAGCAGAGACTAATTAAGGGATTCTGCTAGTACAAGCGAAAGTTAGTGTTGGAGAGACCAAAAGCAGATACGTACTTTAAAAAGCATTTATTTTTCAGTCCATACCTTTAATTAGCTGCATAACTCCAGGGACTACAATTATCAGAATTGCTATGAGCTTGCAAAAGGTTAGAAAAATCTGGATCCGGGCACTCCAGCTGACACTCGTGCTATTTAGGACCATCACTGCAGCTGCAAACAAACAAACGACAAACAAAAAACAGACGAAGTTACAAAAGGAGAATCCTTATTGGCATGAAGACATCGTAGGTCCTGATTACTCTAAGGCAGTGGTCGGCAAACTCATTAGTCAACAGAGCCAAATATCAACAGTACAACGATTGAAATTTCTTTTGAGAGCCAAATTTTTCAAACTTAAACTATATAGGTAGGTACGTTGTTATTAACTTAATTAGGGTACTCCTAATTAGTGGCTTAGGAAGAGCCACTCTCAAGGGGCCAAAGAGCCACATGTGGCTCGCGAGCCGCAGTTTGCTGACCATGGCTCTAAGGCAGTGGTTCTCAATCTTCTGCCCCTTTATATACAGTTCCTCATGTTGTGACCCAACCATAAAATTATTTTCGTTGCTACTTCGTAACTGTAATGTTGCTACTGTTATGAATCGTAATGTAAATATCTGATATGCCGATGGTCTTAGGCAACCCCTGTGAAAGGGTCGTTCGACCACCAAAGGGGTCGCGACCCACAGGTTGAGAACCGATGCTCTAAGGGCCATCCAGGGAACCAGAGGTGTTGGCATGACCTGGAAGCATTGTGGAAATGCAGAAACTCGGGCATGGCCGACCCAAGAAATACAAATCTGCATTTCAACAAGATCTCTAGGTAATTTTTATACACATTAAAGTTTGTGAAGCTTTTAGATAAAACCTCTGAACAGTGAGAAGTCATTTCTTGTTCTTTTTTTTTAATATAAGAGTGAATAGATAGTATAGTGCCTTAATGATTATATAAAAATATCTTCTAAGCAAATCCTGAAGTCATTGCAGCGCGCAGATTGCTGAATGCGACTCTTCAGCTTGCTAAGGCAGCAACTATCTCCTCCCTCAGTGATTGTGTGCATATTCACCTCTCAGTGCGAATCACACTCAAGAAGAAGTAAGACGTTAAGAACGTGGCTGGGACCTTATTCTTCACTCACAGGACTAGCCTTGGCCAGCAGTCTTGCTGTTCCTCTCCACTGTCCAATTAGCACGGCCAAGAGTGGCTCCCAACCTACCCAAAACAAAGCGTCTCCCAAGACATGTTTTGGGACTTGGACAAAAACCATTGTAAGTGATGAGTCCAAAAGAGCACCCAGGCTAGGATGAACCCTGGGTCCGAAGCCAGCAGCATGTCCCTTTCTTAAGGAGGCTGCCTGTGGCTTCCCAGCAGCACACGACCAGCCACGCCCCCCACCCTGTGTGGACCATGAGAGCCTGGAGGAGAAAACAAGCCATATCCATCTCTGCGTTGCTAGCATCCAGCTTCACACCTGCCCTAGGAAGATCATCAGCTCCATTTTGTTGAATGAGTGAATGAGCTGGATACTCAGTTTAAAAAACAAACAAAACCAAAAACCACTACCGTGGGCCAAAAAGACATGAATGGTGATAGATGCTGCCTCCTATACTCTGCAGGAATGACAGGGGTCATTCTAGGGCCAGGCAGTGGATGTCAATGCTATGCTTCTTTACAAAACCTTATGCTTAGTGTTAACCACCTCTTCCCACCCAAAAGTAACTCCACAGTTGCAGTTATTATCTATAAGCTTTATTTTTTAAAATGTATGTTCCTCCCAAACAAATAACAAAAAATGTATAAAGATATTTCTCCACAGATAAAACAAAACACAGAATTCTTATTCAAATTGCAACAGGAAACTTTCCTTATGTGCAGCAATGAGTTATCTTTTCATCTTCCACCGCTTGACATAATCACTGACTCATTTCAGAATTTAAGAATCAGTACAAATGTTATCAACTTAATAGCCTAAACCCCTAAAAGAAGGTTAATTAACGGACATTTTTTAATGGTTTGCTATGCAGGCATTTAAAATCATGATATAGTCAGATATTTATTATATGAAAGGGTGTTCATGATATAATACTGACCAATAAAGCAAGTGACAGAGATGGATAGACAGATATAAACACACAAAGGTAGAAAGGAAATGAAAAAAATCTAAAAAATCATGTATCAAACCATTAACAGAAGGTATCTATAGATGTTAGAACACTAAATAATTTTCAATTTTTATTTATTTTTCTGCATTTTTTCAATAAATTTATAATGAACATGCAGCATTTTTAAGCAACAAATAAAGCAATTTTTATTTTTGAAAAAAATTCAAAGATGGAAAAACTAAGGGCTCTGTAGATCCCCCACATAGTGAGCTTGGAGGTTCCTAGTGAAGAAAGGCTTAAAGGAAGGATGATCAGAAAGGCTGGGCCTGGAATAAGCTACATGGGAGGTTAAGAGAAAGTTTTTATCTACGTTTGAAGCTTAAAACTTGAAGAAACAGACACAGCATTAATGGCACAGTGCATTACTTTATCAGAGAAAGGATAAAAAATAAAATTATTTCTCTCCCCAATATAAAGTACTGATATATCAAAAATAATACAATGCAACTCTGCTCTCATCTTTGTCATCCAGTGATTTCTTCTCCTGTTTCTATGCAAATGACTCTGTGATAAATGAATCATCATATGAAGGGGATTATTTTTTCAGTTAAGGAGATCCAGCATTGGCCTAAAAGAAAATGGAACTTATGTTCCCACCACCAACAAAAGAGCACTGTTTTCTTTTAAACAGAGCTCCTAAAACCCCAAACACTATTTCTGGAAGTACTCCACAGTAGAAGAGAGCTGTTGCATAGAGAGGAAGAGAGAAATAGAAGGAGAAAGGAAAAAAAGGAAGGAAAGGGGAAGGATGGGAGGGAGGAAGGGAGGGAAGGAGGGCGGGGGGGGGGGGGGGGGGGGGGAGGGGGGGTAGGGAAGGGGGGGGGGAAGCAAAGGGGGGGGGGGGAAGGGGGGGGGGGGAGGGAAGGTAGGAGGAGAGAGAAGCGGGGAGGGGGAAGGAAGGGGAGGGAGGGAAGCGAGGAGGGGAGGGAGGGAGGGATGGGGGAGGAATAAGAAAGAGAAAGAGGCATTCTTATTTTTGGAAGCTCTATCTATATATTTGAGAAGAGGAAGAGGGTTTGTTACTTTCATAAAGAATGTAAGTATTCAGTGCCTATTAAAAAAGAAAAAAAGTATTTGGGATTTTCTTTTGTCTTTTATTAAGTCTTCTTAGAAAAATGGAAGACAAAATTAAACTGATATTAGGAATTGATCATCTCACCTCGCTCTGCTCTCAGACAGCTGAAATAAAAATTCTGGTTAAGACTGATTTCTCTCAAAGATTTCTCAAAACGCTGCTTTATTTGAGCATCCAGACATTTCACTCATTATGTGGTACAGGTGGGGTGTACCTCTGCCACCCTGAAGGATACAGCCGAACAAGGAACAAGGCGGCCAGTACAGAGGCGCAGCGAAGGTTCTCACTTGGCTGAAACTGCTGTTTCATCATGTGTCTTTACAGAAAAAGTTAAGTCTATGAATGCTGCTTATCCAACAATATTGAAAAAGGATCTGGGACTCACTATAGCAAGAGCTTTCTGAGTCTCTGAGACAAATAATGCCTGCTTTGTTTTTGATACACTGCCCACAATGTAATAATCAAAGAAATCTGAGCAAGCTCTCTGGTCCTCCTTTTACTTTCATTGAATAATAATTGCTAATTTCACACATTAGGAACTATTTATATAAATTTGGGATGATGATGATGATGATGATGATGATGATGATGATGATAATGATTATTATAGTGTTGCTTATCCTAAATGTTACCAAAATGAAAATTCAGGGCCCTAGAGCTTTTTGGCACTTATTTATGATGCAGTCTCCTAAGACCTGAAATGCAGCCAGGAAAGCCATATGTACAAATCCTGGAGATAAGAAATACGTATTTGAAGGGAACTATTTCTGAAGAGGATGATTAGGGGAATGTTAAGGACTGAGTCTGTGACTTAGAATGGCAGGATGTCTTGCTGCACTACTGTAATTCAGGTCTGCCTTGCTTTTGCAGAGTTAAGTTACTGAGCCTGGATATATTGGGTTTTCCCTGGCTCAGACTTCTGACTGCTTCATGTTACCCTGGTAAAATATATGAATGCTGTATGGGTGTTACATGGCTGAGCTAACGTGGATTGTGTCATTGTTTTCCTAACAGCCACCTGGACTGCCTTTATCTCTTCGTTAGCATTTATTTCCTGGATGCACTAATTTCAGAGAAAATGTGTAGCAGTAAATAAACAGAGAGTCTATATCTAGGGAACTTACTATTGGAAATAAAAGTTGTAAGCATTAAATCATGTGTAACTGTGTAGAAACTTCATTTCTTAATATGACCCTTTCTCCTTTCTTTCTTTCCTTTTGATTCTTACCGGCCTCATTGGGCACCCTGACTCACCTGCCTCCTTCTCTCTTGCAGGGCCACTCCCTCAGTGGTTAAGTGGTTCTCAACCTTCCTAATGCCGCGACCCTTTAATACAGCTCCTCATGTTGTGGTGACCTCCAATTTCATTGTTACAAATTGAACATAATTAAAGCATAGTGATTAATCACAAAAACAATATGTAATTATATATGTGTTTTCCGATGGTCTTAGGCGACTCCTTTGAAAGGGTCGTTCGACCCACAGGTTGAGAACCACCCACAGGTTGAGAACCGCTGGGTTAAGCCTTCAGGACAAAGATCAGCATCAAATGACCTGAGGAACAAACCCCAGAGATAGAGTTACAGTCAAAGTCAAATGAGAGATAACAGCTAAGCCTCAGTTGTGTTTCAGCTCCAGGTCCAGAAAAAAAAAAAAAAAAAAAGTGGCAAAACCAGACAAAGAGATGCCATGGCTGACACCAGGACCAAATGCACTGACTAATGACCCCCTACCCTAGCTCTGACCAATCAGTAGAGACCATGACCCGAAGTCCCTTAGTCACCGTGATTAATGATCTTTCCCCTATATAACCCATGCCCTGGAAGCCATGGGGGAGCCATGTCCTTGAGCATTAGCTCGCCTGTCTCCAGGCGTAAGCCACTTCCTAAAAATAAACCCTTACTTTGCTACAAACTCCTGTTGGTGTCTTATT